CCCCAAAACCCCAAAACCCCAAAACCCCAAAACCCCAAAACCCCAAGATTTATAAAATATATTGAAATCATTGTGGAGGTATGGAAAAAGACGAAATATCTGAATCTGTTGAGAAATACTTCGACATTGATCCCAAGAAAGATAATGCTCTTATTAATATTCTCAATCCTAATGAATCCTGCGCTGATTGAATAGTGCTCAATATTGGATCAAGCAGTATTAAGTTTGGAGTGGCTTCACAACTAGAGCCTTTCATGGTTCCTAATGTAATCGCATATCACCGCGAAGGAAGAAGGATTGAGGAAGAAAGTAAGACCAGAGATACTAAGCACAACCCTGCTGTTGAGTCTATCATTAATAGTGTTGAAAGTGACCTTAGGAGAAAATTGTATCTCCTTATTGATCCAAAAATGATCAAGTCGCAGATGAACAACCTTATGGGATTTAAGCTGTTTGAAGAATCTAACTGTATTGAAAACCATTTCTCAATGGCTATGGATGATGGGGAAGACGATATGGCTAGATTTGAAAACCAGCTATTCAGTGATATACCTGAAGATTACCTTTGTAACAAAGATTTTACCTTCACAAAAGTCTCAAAGCTAAACCCACAAAAATATTTTATTGGAGAAGAAGCTCTCAGCTTACATAAAAATGAGAGCTATGAGCTTTTCAAACCCATCAGAAATGGATACTTGAATGTAACTCATTCAACTCCTGCCCCGATCTGTCTTGATGCTTTAGAGTTAATCCTTAAGAAATCAATCACAGAAAAATTAAGGATTCCTGAGAAAAATTTCAAGCACTTTAGATGTGTTATCACAGTGCCAGATTTAGTCAATAAAAAGCAACTAAAACACTTTGCAAACCTGATTCTGAAAAGACTAGGATTGAAGTCTATTTTTATGTACCAAGAAAGTGTTCTTGCCACCTTCGGAACAGCTACTAATTATGCTTGAGTGGTCGATATTGGTGCCGAAAAGATCAACATTGCCTGTGTAGAAGATGGGACAATCATTCCTGAAACAATAGTGCGGAAAAATTTTGGGGGAGATGATCTGACAAACCTCCTTTATGACCTCCTCCATCGTAAGAAGTCGTTGCATTACTTCCCAAAAGACATTCTCAACAAAGATTATCCTTATCACTGGAACTTGGTCAACAAATTCAAAGAAATCTATTGTCGCTGGATCCTTGGCGAAAGAGAGATCATCAAGAGATGCACATTTTGGGTCCATGAGAAAGGAGATGTCCCCAAAAAGGAGATTACAGTCAACTGTTCTGACTGCTTACAAGTCACTATTCTTTCAGTTTTCTATCCAGAACTCATTGAAGCAGTTAAGAAGGATCAGGACTTCCACATGCTTAAGAACATTGATCTGTATGACTTCGATTTTGACCCAAAAGAACAAGAAGAGGGTGTTGACGACATGGTCCAGATGCTAGTTGAGCCTCTCTTCTGAAGACAACTTATGAACCTCAAAAAGGACGAGGGAGAAGATCAAAATCCCAGCAAGAGATCATCCAAAGAGCTTATAGAAGCCATGTATAAATTTGCAACACTTGAAGAAATGATCTGAGATAGTATAATGTCAATTACTGTTCCTGAAACCAGGAACAAAATGGCATCGAAGATCCTCCTCACTGGAGGCCTTGTCTGTGCAAAGGAATATATTGACCTCGTTGATATCATAGAAGATAGGATGATCCATACCATCACCCAGATTGATAAGAGTATTGAAAAAGTTGATGTCATTCAAGTCAAGGACCAAGATCCAAGATTCTTCTCATGGATCGGAGGCTCTGTCTTTCCCAGACTAGAAACATCCAAAGATATGTTCATCGACAGAGAATACTGGACTTGTGAGCCTAAGCAGACACTAGACCAAGCTGAGATAGAAAAGGCAAAGAAATTGGCCAAGAAGAAGGCTGAGGAGGCAAAAGAGTTTGATGATATGAAAGCTGATGCTAAAGTATTTGCTGAACCACTCAAACCAACTGCAAAGGCCAGTTAATTAATTCTGTTAAAATTGGCACACTACTTCATTTTCTTTATTAATCAGAATCTCGTGCTACATTTTGTGGATGTTCTAATAGCAGTGATAAATATTCACAGTTAAAATATCAAGATTGGGGTTTTGGGGTTTTGGGGTTTTGGGGTTTTGGGGTTTTGGGGTTTTGGGGTTTTGGGG